ACCGCGACGCTGTCGGCCATGCTGACTTGATCGTAATAAGTGCGTAAGACAGCTTCGGAGCTGTCGTAGGATTTCGTCGTAACCTGCGCAAAACTTACGAAAATTTCGTTTCGTGAATACGAATTTGTTCATAAGTTTTGTCTTACGCACATTTTTGGCGTAAGATCGTTTCGTGAATCTGGCCTCTGCACTTCCGAAAGTCGCAGGAAGCGTAAGACAGACGCAGACGACGTTGCGAGCAGACAACGTTGCAAAGAAGCAGACGACGCTCAGATAGGGGGGCTCGATCAGCCAATCAGGGCTCGGCGTTCTGACGTCACCGCTACCCCCTGCGCAAGGAGCAGACGAACTTGCCCTCCGCTGGCCCGTGGGCCTCAGGTGACCATTCGTCGTCAGTGTCACATGACGCTGTCACTCGACATGACGTGGTGATGTCGCGTGACGTGGAAACATGACGTCATCAAGGCTGCCTTCTTCGCGGGGCACAAAACAGCGCTAAGAATGCACAAAAATAAATTCTCAGCATACTTTTATTTTCCGGCGAGCTCTGCCTTTTTTTCTGAAATGATAAAAACATTTCATACGTATATATCCAAATTTCTCGCCACTAAAGTTCGAAAACCTTGTTCACTCCAATGCACTGGCGAGAGCCACGGCAGCCTTTTTCATGAACACACGCCGCGTTTAAAAGCAAACACGATGCATTTCAGAGCTTCAGCTGTTCTCCGCGTTGACAGAGAGGCAAGCCAGACAGGCTGAGATGATGAATGATGATACTTTTCGGCACCCCAAATTTCCTCCGTCTCGTTGCCAAGCGAGCGAAAGGCTTCACAGCTAGCCTGAACCGTAGCCCCCCTGAACAAACTCAGCTCGGACACAATCAACGCTCACTCGTGAAGTCGTGGTGTTTGACTTGGCCCGGCTGACCCGGCTCTTTCGCCCTCCCCACATTATACAGGAGACGAAGGGACTCCTAGTACACCATACTCCTATGATTCGACTAAATTTACTTGACGGACATGATACTGATTGAAGCGCCATCTATCTGAAGTCACACGCAACGCCCACTGAAGGCGGGAACTGTACGGGAACTAAGGAACTCTCGTATTTCGATGGGTGTCTGCTCAGGGAAGACACCCCTTGGTACAACGAGTGTTGCGGTTGCTTGGCGAAGCGAACGTGTAAATATACTTCGACAACCTATCGGATGACCAAGACATCACTATACACTCTGTAAAAGCGCATGTCGGCTGCAGTTAGTATGGTTTCCAGAGCGTTCAAATATCGGTGTTGTGACGTTGCTTGCAGGTATAATTTCCACGAAAGTTTACGGAGAACAAGAGTAGCGTCGTTTTGACCTCGACCAATAAGCAACTGGGACACAGAATCACGTGGCTGTTGGCGGTGCCGCTGTCACGAAATGTGTGCACAGAAGCCTCGAGGAAAAGAGTAGCGTAAACAGAATAGAAATAAAAACGAGGAAATGTGGAACTGGCCGTGTTTGCCGATAGGCCAGATGGTGTTGGATAAAAATTCTCGAGTCTTGGAGCGCTCTCTCGGCTATTCAGTCTGCGCTCGGCTGTACCAGGAAGCGGCATCATGGTACCTACACTGCCGTCCAGCGCAGTTCTGCTAGGTGGGTAGTTGACGTCGCTCGGATATTATAAGGTTTTAGTTTTCATCTTTCTTCTATTTGAACTATACTCGTTTTCATCTCAAGAAAAAAAATAAGTTTTGTGCATTGTTCAAGCCGCGCGAGCTGTTTTTTACAAGATTTGGTAGTCGGAGGAAGGAGCGATGGTTTTGAAGTTTGAAACGTGAACGTCTTAATAAGATAACGCATAATCTAATCTAAAATGCACTTACACATATCTCAATTTAATTGTCCACACAAAGGGGGAAATTAGTAAAACTCAGCAAGGGGCAAGAATTTTTTTTTTTTTTTTACTGCGGTTCTTGAAATGAAAAGGAATATAGTCGCTCGCAGTTTATTTCTTTTTCAATACCATGTCGGCTAAAGCTACATACATACGTCAAAAAAGGGTTGAGGCTGGAGGCTTGATTTCACCCCCTCCCCCCCCCCCCCCCCCCCCCCTTTGTACGGATTGGTTTACATATCAGTCGATATGCGATTTGGAATAATGATTCAGCAATTAGTAACATGCTGAGTGTCATGTGCCGTTTCGCGGAATGCAAACCATCTACGAGCTTGCCATTTTTTTTTTTTTTTTACCTTGAAACTTGATTGTGACGTATACTTACTTTGACGTACGATTACGCGGGTACATTCTCACCAACATCAATTTTTTCCACAGCCACGCTCATCTGCATTGCAAAGACGTTCGCTCAAGATCAAGACTCCGTCCCTACGGATGCCACCGAAACGACAACGGTCGTTCCGGTCACTCCAACCCCACCCTCAAAAGGGACTCCTCCAGTCCCGACGCCGTCAATGCTGAACCCGAACCACTCCTACTACCCGCCTTCATACAGACCACCGCAAGGAGGCTACAATCCGACCAACTGGAACCGCTACCCAACTCACCAGTACACACCAGGGGCAGCGCACCCGCCCGGATGGTACCATCGTCCAAGCTACCGTCCTCCCACATCCACGTACGATTGGTGGAAGGGTTTCCAGAGGAGCCCGTCATTCGAACCCAGCGGTAGCTCTTCGAACTACTGGCCCACAAGTGTAGTTCCTCCAAGCACAGGCTACGGATCTGTTCATCCCTACTATGGTGGCAACGGTTGGCAACCCTACTACATCGCCGTGGGCTACTACCGGAAGAGCCCCACATACCCAGGCTACGGTCCCGGCTACCCTACTGGCGGTGGCAGCACTGGAGGATACCCTCCTAGTTACGGAAGAGGTTACCCTTACTACGGGAGTGGGTACCCGTATTATAGCGGGTACGGATACGGTGGTTACAGCCAGGGTTATCCTTCGGGACCGGGGGCGTACTACGGAGGCCAGTGGTATCCTAGTAGCTACGGTGGTGCTTCTGGAGGCTATCCTTCTTACGGGACCAGCAATTTAAGCCCTCCTGCCAGTTATCCTAGCTACCCTTCTTATGGTAGCAATTATCCGAACTACTACGGGAGCGGCTACTATGGATCAGGGTACCCGATTAGCTCTCCAAGTTATCCATACTACGGCGGCAGCTACGGATCAAGATATCCGAGCAGTTATACAAGCTATCCTTCCTACGGAGGGTACTACGGATCAGGATACCCGACCAGCTATCCAAACTATCCTTCGTACGGTGGCAGTGCGTACAATTACCCTTACTCCGGCGGATATTCCACTGGAAAATACACGGGTAGTAGCTCGTACCCTTACGGTGGCCAAGGTGGGGGTAGTTATCCCAACTATTACTATTACAACAACAGGTACTATTATCCTTGGTACTGTTGTACCTACAATCCCGGTTACTATAACAAGGGCTATGCGACCTCGGGCTCTGGTGGCGTCAAGCAGAACGTGGGCCCAATTAGTCCTGGCCAGAAGACAGGGCCGCAGCAAGCACCGAAAAGGAGCTATGTAAGACGAGCTTTGAGGGACCAACTTGGGGACCAGAAGAACGCCGAACGAAGGATTGAAGACTTGAGTCCGGAGGCGCTAGGTGGAATTCAAAGGTACGTCGTCGACTACAAACCCTCTACGTTCAAGGCGGCAGCAGGGCTCAACGACCAGAAATTGTTTCCGACAAGCTTGGCCGATAAGGTGTCGGATAATGTAGCCTCTGGAGACGAAAACAAGATCGCTAGTGACCCAGAGGGCCAGAGCATCACCGGTGAAATGGTGGAAAGCTACCAACGTAGACTTCTGGCTCTGAATAGGATGTTCGATCACCTCATTTCACCCAACGAGAAACCAGAGGAAAACTACTTTCAGAAGAGAGTACGCACGTACAACAAGTTGCTCAGCATGGCGAAGCAGCAACCGGGGTTTCGAGGTGAAGCCGATGGGAAGCAACAAGACGTGCGATTGAAGCTGGGACAATTGATGGCGATGCTCAAGGGGTACGTTTTCAGACATGACGCTATCGGTGCGCAAGCGAGGCGCGCTGTCCAGGCGGTTTACAGCGCCTTCCACGAGCCGGACTTGACCGCAGAGGACATGCTCAAAGTATTGTCCATTGTTGAAAACCTCGTCCCGAAAATTTTGAGCCAAGACGGGGATTGGAGCAGTGAGAAAACGAAGAGCAATGACGACGCCAACAGCGATAGCAGTAGCAGCTCCTCTGATGAATCGAAAGAGCCCACCAACGCCAGTGACTCGGCTCAGCTCTATGATAGGCTTGAGAAGCTAGGCGGTCTCTATCAGTACATCATGCGTGGGCTGTTGGTCGAACAGAAATCCGATGACGACTCGAGCGTCGGAGGTGGTAAGAAGGCGCCCAGTGCCCAAGACTCGGCTGATTTTCAGCTGAAAGGTTCACTTACTTTGAACCTTGATCTGCAAGGGAAGTCCAACTTCGGGAGGAACGCAATCGACAACGCTCTAGAGGCAGCGCTTGCCTGAGTGCACCGGCGGTTTGCCGACAATAGCTTTGCCTTTTGATAAAGTGTCGTAATAAAAAAATAAAAAAAAAGATTCAAACTGTAAAGGATTGAATATTTTTTTAGAACGCCCGGAGTAAGAAAGCAAAGTATCGTGTGTGTGTGTGAGAGAGAGAGAGAGAAAGAGAGAGAGAAATTATAAATAAAGGTAGTAGAAAACAAATTGAGGTATTTTGATATATACTGCGGAGACTATATCTGGGTGCTTCTCTCAGTGGGAAAAGTAGAAGGATCCACGCACAGTTTCGCATATCGCACGTCGCAGTCATTTTATTGGTTCACAAAAGACGCTGCTTCTGAAAACATCGAAATACAGGGGTAAAGTGCATACACCGACTCAAACAAAGTAACTGACGAATGAATATAGGATAATCGGACAGAGCGCTTGGTCCACGTGGGATTTCCCGCGGATGTCTACACGCAAGCGAAATCCTGCATGCGCAGCATGGCATCTTGTACGCCAGGATCTTCCACATCCTGCATGACACCATACGGGTGAAAACACGGTGAATATGAGCGGAGAAACTGAGAGCGGCAACGGTGATCAAAACTGCGGACCTGAAGTTAGCTGCCTTTATCTCCACTGCACTCGTCGAATACAAGAGCCAAACGCCGGATGCCAATGTTCCGCGTTCTAACGCTCTCGGCCAGTGCCTTGGAGACAATCGAAGGCAGCCATAGCTTTAGGTGTACCCACTAATCATTCCAATCAGAGGTCGGCGTTCTGACCTCCGCGCGCTCTCTCGCCTCCTTTTCTCCATTTCAGCATAACTTGGCAAATGGCGGAAGCTACGGCCCTGCAGCGAGTTAATAAGAACGTCCGAGAAAAGGCATGTAACCATTCGCACCGCCGGAGTGAACTCCAGTGCAAGGCGCCGTACGAGCCGACATATCCTGCAGCCACGTGGTATATGCTCCGACGATATACACCACGTGCTTTTCAGTTGCATAGGCAAAGATAGAGACAAAGCACGTAGCTTTGTCTGTAGTTCATCCTATAGACCGACACGCGGAGCGGCTCTGTTTACCAACACGGCCGGAAGGCCGCGCATGCGCGGTAGCTATGTGGGCAAAAGGAGCCCGGCTCTCCGTGTTTTCGCCATTGCGTTCTATGGCGTGCGCTCGTTGTTGACGTTGTAGGGACGCTTGTATCTTTAATTGTGCGTCGTATTTCCTCACAAGGTATGTCGTATGCTATGCCCGACTATTTGAGCTCGTGACCCGAGCCTGAACGGCAGCGGTATCTAAACAAACTGTGCGTGGACGGCGTTGCCTACGAGGATCCGTACGCCGTAAACAAGGCTTGCTGGACTTCCGACGTAAAGTTGCTGCCACGGAAGCCGACGGCTCACGTCGTCGTTTATTTAGTTTTTTCGCCGAGCCAGCTCACGGCCGACACGGAGCCACGGAGCAGGCGTACAAGTCTCTCGAGGTCTACGATTACTTCGAGTCGGTTTCCGCACTGCTGGTGGGATCAGCAGACTCTGGGGCTACGGAAGTGTGTGTATTCATTAATTGATTAAATACACACAGCGTCTTCAAGTCAAGGTATGATATTTTTCCTACCCTCATGACCACAAGGTATGACAAGCAGTAACGGTTAGTCCGTTCTGCAGTCTTGGTGGTAACAGGTTACAAGTAACGGCGTTGTTGGTAAAGCGTTACTTTTTTCAGTAACGTAGTAACCTACTCGTTACGTTTTCGACACAGTAACGGGTAACATACTTATGTTACTATTTCAAGTAACGTAGTTACGTTAGTCGTTACTACTTCCAAAGTCTTAAAGAAATTACACTTCAATTGTTTCCGTGTTTTAGGCGTCAAGCCATGTTTTTCTTTCCGTTTTTTCTCGCAAGTGTTTAGGTGAAACCGTAAAAAGAGATAAAGTAATTATGTTCAGTTTCTGCATGAACATAATGTTTCTTGATATATGACCTGTATCGTTAAAACCATAAAATGTGTTAAATTATAATTTAAAAAAAGGAACGCAGAAGTAACGTGCGTTACTTTTTATCGGTAGCGGTAACGCGTTCCTTTTATTTTTAGGTAACGTAGCTCAGTAACGCGTACCTTTTATTTGCAAGTAACGAATAACGTATTTCGTTACTTTTTTTTGGTAATGCCTACAGCACTGCCGTTCTGTCACCGATCCCCTTCTGCTGGGTAGCACGGGCGTAGCGAGCCTCTGACGAGCGCTTGGCCGGTGCTTTGTGCGCGAACACCATGGGAACAAAATCCGGGTGGTCTCGACCAGACAACGGTTTCCCTGCACATAAGCAAGCCTCGGGACGGAGATTGAAATGGAAGCCGCACTTGCTTCAAGAAAGTGCTTGCCGCACAAACGATCGTTCGCGCGAGGCGACCATTCCTTTTGATCCACGGATATTATCCACCTTCTATGCCGCTCAGAGTCTGCCGGGAACTTGTGGAAACTCACTCCGCTGCTTTTCTTGTACATATCGGTGCAATTAACTGCAACACAGCTTCGCGGCATGCTGAAATGCTATGACGCCCATGCAAAACGTGCGCGCTTTTGCCCACACCCCCCGGCTCCGGCGCGATCGCAGCGCCGCCGCAGCTCCGTGACGTCAAGCCCGCGTGTCTTTCCCATCTTACGCCTTCCGGATCGAAGACGTCGCTAATGCGCACGGGCGCCACAGCGGTCCGTGGTGTTTGCGGGACGGCAGAAAAGACAGGAAGCCGCAGTGTGCGTGCGCGGAAACCGAATTCGCGTGAAATAGGTAAAGCGTGTGCACATGCGCCGTGCCGTCGGCGGCACCACCACGTGACGTGACGGTTCGTGAACGAATGGATGGATAGATGGATGGCGGAGGTTACCTACCAGATCGACGTGAAACCTCTCGGCCCTCTGCCGCCAGACGACGGTACTGTACGCCTGCCGCAGCCGCGTGTCGTCGAACGCTTCCGGAGTCGGCAGCTGCGCCCGCGTGCCTCGGCGAACGCTGACTGCGTGTGGCGTCACAGGCCAGTTGGGCCAGCGGAGAGGCGCTGGACGGCTGCTGTTTTGGTCACCGTTTTCGCTCTCAGTCAGGTCCCTCGGTTGCTCCCGCGGGCATCTATATAGAAACCAACGAATCAGAACGCCATTTTGTTTTCAGCTAGTACGTTGGTCTACTCGTCGGGTGCGTTATCTGTGCGTGACGACCAGCGAAGACGGGCCTGTTTAGAGCCGCCTATGCGTTTTTGTAGCGTTAGCTACACTGGCCAAGGTTGAGCAGTTTAATTCACGTGGCTCTCATAATGAGCCGTGCTCATTATGGAGCCGCCGCGCGCTCCACCGCCGCCGCGCCGGTCTGCGCATTCCAGAGGAGTGACATCATAGCTGCGCCAGACGCACTGCCGCGTGCCCAGCTGTGCGCCTCCGTTGCGCAGAAGGCCAAGTCTGACGCTGCACCGGAGCCGCTTGATAGCGCTTCTTGTTTTTTGCGCATAAGCTGGCGCTACGTATATCCTGGCATAGCCGAGCTAAGCCACCGCAATTTTTTGTTGAGAGCTGGTTTGACTGCTGCGCGGAAACCAAAACTGCGTTGCGATGTGAGGTTATCAGACGAGGTATATAGCTAACAACGTTTTCTTTATCGTCGACGACACAAAACAGAAAACAGTTTAATTTTTTTTTTTGGCTGCCGGTTTTTGCGTTTTATGTTTTTGCATTTTGTGCCGCCACGATCACCCGTTGGCCAATCATGAAGAGGCACTGTTTGTAATCTAGAGCCAGTCCGAAAGCCGTCTTGGTGCTTATAATAATGGTTGCCAGTTATATATGAAATCGCAGGAAACTAATTCAGAAAGGTAAAAAAAAAAAAAAAAAAAAAAAAAACATTCCACATCCGAGAAAAATGATAAGCTTACCGACGGTCACAGTTTTGAACCTGCAGTAAGCACCAACATCGAGGTACCAACAAGATGATCGGGGAATGGTGTATCGTAGCGGTTCTAAGCCACTGGTTCCCAAATAGGGGTCCGGGGACTTCCATTTGGAGCCCGGACCATCAGTCAAGCCGATCACTAATATTTTTATTGATGATGGCTGCCCCCAAAGCTGTATAGAGAGGGTGACCATTATCTACAGCGTAGAAAGCGGGTCATCGAAAAAAAAAAAAAAAGATTTGGGGGGGGCGGAGCGGGGCCTAAGGAAAAGAGCAAGCTCCGCTACAATTCAGTTCACTGTACAAATGCACGTTTCTAATGTCCTTAGTTTTGTTGAGTACCACGAAGACCTTTCTCTTTCATTTTTAAGCAAAACCGAAGCATGCCAAGTATAGTGATATGAAAAAAGTGCCCCGAACATAACGCATTCAAAGAAGGAACCACAGAAAAAAGCTATAAATTTACTCTATGAGAGGTTACGATTTTGTATGTTTATTTTTATAAAATGTATTACGCATCTTTTACCCATTTATATCTACTCGCTTGGCACTCATTTCGCAACTACGCACTCCCACGAAAACGGGACGTGAGGCTTTATTGAGACAAAAGGACGGGACGGCAGGAATGCACCTCTAAAATTGGACTGTCCCGGTCAAAACGGGACCGTCTGGTCACCTTATGCGCGCCGAGCGAGTTGATTCTTCTGTTTCAGGGCTGCGAAGTTGGCTTGCACGAATTTGCTCTTCTGTGACGCAAGACCCCATCTAACTCTCGGACAGATGGGGTCCCCAATCACCCCCGCCGATCCGGATGGGGTCCCCGACGCACGAGTGGTTGAGAACCACTGCTCTAAGCAACGAGGTATAGCTACAGGTTCCAAGCATGACTACAGCGATGTTTCGGGTCCTTATTTTGAACCGGCGCTTATCGATGACCGTGTTCTCTTCGTTGCGTACACTACGAAAGTGTAATTAGCAGAAATAAGCGTTCGTTAAGCTCCACTCGCTCTTCTGAATGTGGTGCTAGCTACGCGCCCTCAGAGCCAACCAGTCGCCTGGCAGAAGAGTGATCACGTGTCGAAAAAGAGACGTGGTCCAACGAGGACGTAGCTTCCACCGCAGTCTCAGCTTACACTCCGTGTCATGAGTTGCATGCCGTACAGGCGAAGGCAACGCCAGAAGAGGGGAGGAAGAGCAAGCACTAGGAAGGCTAAGGAGGATGAGAGAAACCTCCTTTCCTCCCTAACGTTCCCAGTGCTCTTCCTTTCTCCCCTCGACCTCGATTGCCCTCTCTCTCGTCTCGCCTTCCTAGGGCTCTGCCTTTCTCTCTTCGCCTGGCGGTGCCTTCGACTGCACTGCACAGAACTAGTGACACGAACTATAGGCGTATGCAGAGTTCGTCTGACCTGGAGATCCTTGCAACCCGGTTCCTGCGGCGCCGAATCCGACGCCGATGCAGAAGGGTGGGCATGAGCTGTCCGGTCTCGACGCAGTGGCGAATTTCAGCCTCAATCTGACGATGGTGTGCAGCACGTGTAAGGAAATAAAAGAAGCGTCATGGGGTTTCATTTTCACTCGGATCCGCGGTCGATAACGATTGAACGAGTGATTAGGAAGTAGGCAGAGCTATCCATATTTATTTCGGGTGTATCTCAAAACGTCCCATTCGCATTTGAACCTTGCACATTTCGACCTATTCTCATTTGGTCCTTCTCGTTTGAACCTTCTCATAAGATCCGAATCGATTTTTTCGCAACTGGACCCATTCTCATTTCGCCCGTTCGTGCTACGACCGAATGGCACTAGTTCGGCATGGTTCTAACGTCGTTATGCCTTCGCGGCTTTGTTGATGAGCCTTGCCTTGCTTGTGCACCCAACATACCATCATATATATGTTATGTGTAGAGGTACGCACTGAGAATCGTAAATTGACGCCTGCTTCCCTTCCTCTAAGCAAACGAGAAAAAAAGCAATGAACATTTAATTTGGAAACTTTGATTGAACAGAAATAGCATACGAAATTGCAGTGGTTCTCAATCATTGATGTTTCGCAGACGCCTTGCAGAAAGGCGGAGATGATGCAGGACCCCGTTCGGGGTGAGGGGCATAGAAAGGTATAGGTTATCATGATAATAATTTAATAAATGGACGTAACTAATTGCTAGTGTAAAGTAGACTTATCTCATTGACATACACACGAGAGTACTCTCCCGAAAATTGAAATATTTCTTCTCAACGTGAAGAAAGACAACTATTATTGCCGTGGCTGACTGATGAGACAGTGCTTCGCAGAGACCCCTAGGATGTCTTCGCAGACCGCCTTTTGAGAACCACTGCATTATAGAAGTGGTGGCATTGTCCCAAGTCGAGAGACCTCAAACAACGTGACATTTCGGAATATGATCTGGCTGCGATAAATAGTTGGTCTGTTTTATTGTCAGCTAGTAGCTTTCCACGACGACCTCGACGCGCAGCTAAATTCCTTAGCAGAGAGAGTATGCCTGTAACGTGGCACACACACACGCACACACACACATACATACATACAAGTTATATCAATGTATTTATTAATATTACCCTAAAAAACGATTTTGGTATAGAAAGAGTCAAGTGCGACGGGTCAAAGCGAGATATTTTTGAGAATGGCTGTTTTGAAAAGGGCCAGGTGAAAAGGGCGAAACGAGAACGGGTCCAAATGAGGAGGGTTGGAATGCGAAAGACGAAACGGAAAAGGACCAAATGCGACAGGTCCATGAGAGAAGATCTTTTTTGAGAATGGTTGCTTTGGGAAGGGCCAATTAAGTGAGAAGGTCGAAACAAGAACGGGCTCTAACGATACCACCCATTTATTTCATCTTTAATTCGGATGAGTGGGTAGCGATGGGACAAAAAGGGACACACATGACACTTAAAAATAAAAAGAAAAGAGCAAATTGAGATTGTTTGAAGTCATATAAAATAAAAACAGGAATCACGTTAATTAGTCTTTTATTTTTATCGCTAAACAGAGCTTAAAAACTTTCTTGTGAAAATTATTTTAAAAATATGGTTTTAGTTTTTGGTTTTGTCAGAGTTTGAGAAACAAAAGTTACCTGTTTCATCACGTTATAAATGACTTGGTCGGTGCCATCATCTTCTGGGCTGTAAAACAAACGTCATAGAATCAGACTTTCGAATGGTCCATCCGTTAGATAAAATTTGAAATTTTAGAGAAAAGTCATGCTGTAAACGATTTACTAGTTCCCGCGAATATGTTTCTCTATGGAGCAAATACATAGCACACCACCCCAATTCACAAAACCTGGAGCCCGCGAAAATTAAGTCGTTTATAGTATTGCAAACTAAAGGATATATACATATATTGCCGTGAAAGCCTCACAAATGCGGTCTGCGCGAATGAGAGGCGGAAGTTATGTCCAAGAGAGAATGCAACCAATAAATGCCTTACTAACAAAAACTCACTAATTATTATTATTTTTTTTTTTGTTAGTCGTTTTAGAGGGCGCATGTTGATATCGAAGAAATGGAGGCAATCAATGCTGGAAGTCAGCCCAGATTTAAAAAAAAAAAATAATAATAATAAAAAATCCTGGATCGAGCACACAGTTCGAGTTATTTATTGAAATGTATGTGTCAATAAATAACTCGAACTGTGTGCTCGATCCAGGATTTTTTATTATTATTATTATTTTTTTAATCTGGGCTGACTTCCAGCATTGATTGCCTCCATTTCTTCGATATCAACATGTGCACCCCTAAAACGACTAACAAAAAATAATAATAATAATTAGTGAGTTTTTGTTAGTAAGGCATTTATTGGTTGCATTCTCTATTTGTCGACACCGAAACCAAACGCGCGATGCCCGCCGTAAGGACAACCCTAGTTGAACCATAGAGTAATTGTTTGATGCCTGAGGGTCACGTGTTAATAACGAAATTTGCGTCACTATTTCGCGTGCTGCGGTTTGCATAGCACGAGCTGTGCTATGCAACCCGCAGACGCCGGCTTTTTTTTTTTTTTTTTAGTAGTTGCTGAAGCCCCCATTGCCCCCCCCCCCCCCCCCCCCCCCTTTCTGTTCCGGGGTCCCAGTGTATCCCGACGATCATCTCGTCGGTACGTCGGTATGCCCGGCGAGACAGAGTAGACGTCAAGTGAAGGGGTGTCCAAACAACTACAAAACGCACGACTCCGACAAATCGTGAAAATTGAAGCGGGCGCGAAGCGGGCGCGTCCGCTTCAATTTTCACGATTTGTCGGAGACGTGCGTTTTGTAGTGTCCTGTTTGGACACCCCTTTAGAGAAAGTACGAGCGGCAGGAAAGGGATTCGGCCGAGGATACTGAGTTTGCGGGACGCATTTCGTAGCGGCGAGCGGGCCTTTGCCTTTTGTTACATAAAGCGCCGTTTCCACGCTTCAAGCGCACCTTCGGGGCCCCCTGCCAAGCCAGTCGCGCCAGGGTTTTTATTACCATGAGGCACGGCCAGCTCGCTTGTTTCTAAAGGCCTGTTCACACATGGAGCGGAGCGCTACAAGCATAGCGCTAACCTCGCGCTTAGCGCGTGCTGACGGCAGCGTTCACCAGCTTTGTATCGCACCGTCAAAACTGTTGCTCATGGCAGACGATAAGTAGCTGACGACGCGTGAGGAGCGCTACATCAGCGCTTCGCTGCATGTGAGAACCGGTGCAACGATATTCAGTTGGAATCTTTTTTCACTATACACGAGCTATACTGGCACTAGTGGGAGTCAAGGATACTCGCACGCAACGCCACTGACCAAGAAACTCCTTTGTTGCGGTGTAATTTCAAGGACAAAAGCGATCATTTTCACTCAATCTCTCCTTTGCAAAATTTCATGACGTGTAACGTGGGGATCGCAGTACACCCATATGACGATATTTGAATGCTGTTCATAGATTGGACCCGAGCATTGCGTGGGTACTCGACTTGGGCTCGTGATAATTACTAGCTCGAGAAGCATTCGGGTAGTGGCCCGTGTCCAATCGCTGCAACGACGACAACAGCCGAGCCATAACAATGTCTGGAACTCAGCGCGTGTCCTGTGCTTTGCCAACCCCAGCGCGTGGCTATGATCAACATTGGCGGCATATAATCGGCTCCAGATCACGTGGCCGCTTGTTTGTCTGCGAGTTGAGGGGGTGAACGCTGCTCGTTTTGCTTTAATTTTTTTCTGGGACTTCTATTGCGTGGGGTGAAAAACGAACGCGTGTTTCATATGTCATTAATGTCAGGGATCCGTTCTAAGCGGTATTTGCGCAAAGTGCAAAAATTCTTGCATCGCCCCTTTAAGTATTGTCGTGAGAGTTGTCTTGTTCGTTATTTTAGTTATCCTTGTCTCAAGGTTTAGATTATGACGGATAACCTTGCGTTGTTTACCAGCATTTCGCACAATCGGAACAAATTTTTTTTTTTGCGACAAAACAGTTTTTGACTTCAAAACTTTGTCGGCGGCATATCGAAACATTCTGCTCGTAGCGCAATCGCACATATATACGAAACATTCCACACGCACTGGCTAACGTCATCGTCGTACGCTCGGCACGTTTTTCCGAGTTCACATGCAACAAAATTAGGAACCTTTGTTGAAGATATGGTGCGTGTCCAGGCAGTTAGCGGCATCCTACGCCTTGGTACGCGTATCCGCACAGTGTGAAGTACGCCCCCAGCATGGTGCAGGGCACCGCCCTTCCCTAGCGTGACGTCACGTGCAAGGCATGTATAGACTTGACTGTTAACTGTTAAGAGTAAAGGCCGGTCAATGTACCGGGTCTTATTTGATAAGTAAACAATAGGACTTATCATCAAGGAAAGCTGTGTTTAAGATGTTATCAGTCATACATTGATTGGCAGACAGATGTTCAATCAGTACCAACTCGTCCAGCTTACCGCCTTACTACTGTCAATGTTTCTTTTTTTTTTTTTTCACTTTGGAACTTTTTGTTTTGAGACTTTTACAATGCGCCAATTATTTTTGCATAAAGGATTTTTTTTTTTTGGGCGGGGGGGGGGGGGGGGGGGGGAGGGAGGGGGAGGGGGGGGGGGGGGGAGGGGGCCGCAAACATTTACCTTGACGGAGGTTCCTGAATTTGTTGATCAGTATCCTGCTCCTCCTCAATGCCGTAAAGTTCGTCCCTCGAGATCACACGGGAACCCCTGAATAAGAGAATGATAAGAGAATGGAGACAGAGCGATTCTTGTGAAATGCGAGATGGACTTGCAAAACTTGAGGTGAACTGTGCTATTGTTCTTGCCTGACGCTTGTCCTTAAGATCCTTATGTCGGAACAAAACTTTTTCACTGCCTCTGAGCTAAAGGCTCACCTTGAAAATGACCACTTCAAATCGTTCAATTGTTTTCATTTAAATACGCGATCTGCTCGTAATAAAACTGTCGAGCTTGGTCTACTCTTTGACAAATTTAATTTTTTGTTTCACGTTATTATGTTTGGAAACGTGGTATTCTGATGAAAATGCCGTTTTTAGTCTATAGATGTATAATGGATACTATTTGAACAGAACAATTGGACGCGGAGGGGGGTGTATCAATAATGCTTAGAAATAATATGTGCAGGAAAAAATAGAAGAACACTCATGTGCCAGTAAAGATTACGAAGTGCTGTCCTTGCTCGTTGATAAAATTATTATCTCGGTAATCTATAGGCCGCCAGATGGGAACGTGATAACTTTTTTTTTCTTTTTTAGAAACGTACTTTAGATTTGCAACCGAGAATAGTTATGCTATTATTTTGGGAGGAGATGTTAATCTAACATGCTGCAGGATACACCTAATTAAATACAACTATAACTCTTACTAAACAGTAGCGGTTGTTTAAACGTAATTACATCACCTATGCGAGTCACGGCAGAATCATCAACATTGCTCGACTTGTTTATTACAAATTTGGTTTTAGCTTATCTAAAATCGGGGATAATAAGCACGGACATTAGAGACCATCTGGGTATATTTATTTCCGTAAAAAAAAAGAAAAAAAAAAAAAAAAGCCAAAACTACGAGGAACCAATTTCGTGGAGACTTTCATATAAGAGAAGGCAGCCTTTGTGAATGGACCTTTTCCGAGAAACGTTCTGCGCACGCGCGAGCGCCCGATGCCAAGCGGCGGAAGTCGGAACGAAAAATCGAGGAAATTCGGAATGAGCCTGTGGATAAGCGAGTAGAACAGGTAATTGCAGCATATATATAATTGGGTTACACAAAAAAAGAAAGTAAACGGAAAGAAAAACACAACGATAGGGTGGACGTTACGGGTGCCCATCTTTAAAGGGACCATGAAATGACTTTTTTACTTTTTCCAGATAACTTTTACATTAAACCGTCAATGTTCACTGAATGCCGAACAGGCATTTGTTTTCGTCTCGGTTTATTAACTTCTACACAAAAAATTATTGAAATATCGACTTTTTCTTGACCGCAAAACAAGCCGTGACGTACGATGTTTCCGGAACCGGAAGTTCTCTCTGCAGTAGGAGATGGGAGCGTTAGCGAGTTGGGGTGCGCCGGTGGGTTTTACTGCGCCGATGTCACCGACGTATTTTCTGAATCGGCGCCTCTCATCGCCGCATCGCAGCTGAGCGAAATTCAATGAGATACGTTGCGCTACAGCGACAGCATGGGACTAGTCCCATACGCCGGTATGCCTGTTGGGAAGTGCAGCGAGTCTTCCGGTGAAGACTCGGTCCCGGCCCGCAAGCAGAGAGAAGAAACCCGACCCTCACTTTCCTTCTCGCCACTGTGAAAGGAGGAAATTGCCTCTCGTTTCCTTCTCGCCATTTTCCGATTTTTTTTTTTTTTTTTTTGCCAGCTGGCTGTTTTTTTTTTTTGTTTTTTTTTTTTTTTTTTACAAGTATGGGGTGGAGGAAATGAAAGCTTCAAGGATTTGAAAAGATTATCCAGAAGCCAGCCGGCACACCTGCGACAGGAGCTGAACCAACCGAGTAGCTGTTTTGAGCAAGCTTGGCACTTGCTCTTCCCAACGAGTTGCATTGGCTTTTTTTTAGCATTGGTTTGGAAGACGATTCTTTACTGTTGTGAGAGCACAAATGCCTTGTTCTGCTCAAAGAAGTAGTCATTGGGGTATCAATTTTAATGTAAATATCTGATTTGGCATCTTTCAACAACGGGAAGTACGAGCAGCGTTTTTTGTATATCAGGGATGGCGCTCCATAGACCAGTGGTTCTGAATCATCATGGTTCGTAAACCCGCAGAGGTGACGGAGGGTCCCATCCGTAGTGGGTCTACTACTTTTCGGTGTAGAGCGTTTTGCTGTAGGGCATTTCAGTAGGACTTTTTGGTGCACAGACATTTCAGTGTACGGACTTTTTGCTGCAAAGATTTTTCGGTGCGCGGATACTTTGGTGCACGGACATTTTCTGCATGGACATTCGACGCTATGGTTTGCTCGCCGGTATTTCTTTTCCAACGTACGCAGACACGCTTCACATCGTGTTTGTGCGTTGAGTTGATAAAGATAGTCTCCTCTATAAGGTTTTGACTTTATTATTGGTCCTGCGTGTAGGAAACGACCCAAACAGCAAGACGTTTGAAGTTGTTTGTGTATTCAGAACAATTTTGAATATCTTCAAATGCGCCTCCTCCACGTAATCGCATAGCTCCGATTGTTAATAATAAAGTGTGATGACCACGCACGACAAAAAAAAAAACAAAAAAAAACAATGTAATTATCACTTGTAACTCATTAGAGAATAAAGTAGGCGTGTGCGGGTACAAAATAAGTATAATTAAATCAAATGTCGATTTGAATCAAGTAAACAAGCCGAATTTGGTGAATGCTAAATCTATCTTATTTTGTATCAAATGTTTGCTCATTCTCGTACGAAAAAAACAAAAAACAGTGACCACAGATCATACACAAAGTATGATCTGTGGTCAACGTCTATTTCCATGCCGTAATGATGTCGCCGGACGCAAAGAACTGCCTTACAATCATGCTTA